ACCCCCCAGCCCCAGTGGTCCATCCTCCCACATCTGGAGTCCATCCTGCAGCTCCAGGGGTCCACCCCCCAGCTCCTGGGGTCCACCCTCCAGCTCCAGTGGTCCATCCACCAACATCTGGGGTGCACCCCCCTGCTCCAGGGGTTCATCCACCAGCCCCTGGGGTGCACCCACCAGCCCCCGTTGTGCACCCACCAGCTCCAGGGGTCCACCCTCCCCCATCAGCTGGAGTGCACCCCCAGGCTCCAGGAGTGCACCCACCTGCTCCTGCAGTACACCCCCAGGCCCCTGGGATCCACCCCCAGGCACCAGGTGTGCACCCCCAGGCACCAGGTGTGCACCCCCAGCCTCCTCCTGGGGTTCATCCTGCTGCTCCTGGGGTCCACCCTCAGCCTCCGGTGGTTCACCCCTCAAATCCTGGGGTACACCCTGCTCCCATGCCCCCCATGCTGAGGCCCCCACTCCCATCCGAGGGCCCTGGGAACATTCCTCCCCCTCCCCCTGGCAACTGAGCCCCCAGCACTCCAGCTGTGTGCCACCTTCCCCCACTTCCCCCAACCCTTGGAATCTTGTATTTTGGCCTGAGCCTATTAAACAGCCTCCCCCACGTCAAAAAAAAGCTTCTGCTGTGGTGGGGAATGGGGCTGGGGCTGGGGCCTGTGGGCAGCTATGCCCTGGGAGACACCCCTTGCAGCCAGTCAGGAGTGGGGAGGGACTGGTAAGCCCTGTGCTCTTGGGGGAGCAGGCCTCCAGGTGGGCTCCACCCAGCCCTCTCAGTGCTAGCCAGACAACTGCTCAAGGTCAGCGCTGGCCTCAAAGGCCCTGCTGTGTCTGAGGACAGTAAGCCCTTTGAAACAGCCACCTCTGGCCTGCTAGGTTCCCAGGGGCACCAGGCACTGTCCCCCAAGGTCACCCATCCCCAGGTTGATAGGGATGTCCCTCCCAAGCACTTGGGTCTAGCCACTCATATAAAGCAGGGCCATCCAGCCCCTGGCAGCACCACCATGTGGGAACTGCCTCTTTCCTACCTGGCCCTGCTGCTGGCAACCACAGGAGCTGTGCTGGGTGCTGAGATCCCCACAGAAGAGGAACCTGTCAGCACCGGGGGTCTCATCTTCCTCCAAGATGGAATGTGGTCTCCCAACAGCCCCCCAGAACCTCTTTGTCTGCTGATGCTGAAGGGACCAGGCAACACCAGCAGAGTCCCCTTGGGGGTGGTGGGAGGCCTGGGCACCTATGAGCAGGCCTTTCTGGAGGCTGTTCGAGGGTCTCACTGGGGACCCCGAGACCTGACCACTTTCGGGGTCTGCAGCCCTGACTCCCAGGCCGCTCTGCCAGTCCTGCAGCATCTTGGGGCCTGGCTGGAGGAGACTGGGGGACAGCGGCTACTGGTCCTGCATCTGGCTGAAGGTATGTGCGCTCAGTAAAATGCAGTGGGTCCTATACTGATGCTGCATGGGGGGGCTCCTCCCCAGGTCCCTGTGGGTCTCTGACACTGCCTGGGGACTGCTCCTCAGGTCCCCATGACTGGGAACACACTGCAACACCCAGAGCACATTGAGGGAGTCTAGGAGGGAAGGGCTTCCCTAGGGCCACATACATAATAGCCACTGTCCACCCCAATGGCCAATCCTTCCCTGACAAGAAGGGCCCCCGACACTTGCATCAGGTTCCCTCAGGGATGCCTAGCCCCCACAAAATTCCAGTTCCAACTGAGGGACTCTTCCCTGTAGGATAGGCCTTGGGGAGACAGGTGAGTGACCTCGGAGACTCAGAGTACCCATTAACACCCCCTACCCCCCCTGCAGTGACATGGGAGCCCACACTCTTGCTGAGGTTCCAGGAGCCCCCACCCAGAACAGCCAACCCTGGGGAGCAGGCACTGTTGGTGCTGTACCCTGGGCATGGCCCTGAAGTCACAGTCACCGGGGCTGGGCTGCAGGGTACACAGGTACCTGGGAGTTCTATGAGGGTGTCCTCTGGGGCCCCACAGTCCTCTGGTGATGGGAGGGAGGGGCAAATTTTAAAGATCTACCTGATGTCAAGGTTCCCAGCCCTGAAGAACAGAGCTGGGAAGTTGCGGGGGTTTGGGAGAGTGCTGAGCCCCCATGTCCATAGAGCCTTTGTCCCACCGGGGACACCCGCTACTTGGTGCTGGCTGTGGACACCCCAGAGGAGGCCTGGAGCAGCCGGGGGCTAGCCCTGACCCTGCAGCCCCAAGGAGATGGTAGGCCACGGTGGGCCGAGGGGGGACAGGAGGGGATGATGTGGAAAGAGGCAGCCCTCAGCCTCAACTGCTGAGCCAGCTATGAGCACACCCACCATACACAGGTGCCACCCTGAGCATTGCCCAGCTCCAAGCTTTGCTGTTCGGCTCTGATCCCCGCTGTTTCACCCGGATGACCCCCACTTTGTTGCTCCTGCCCCTGACCCAGCCTTTACCACAGCCAGCACAGGGCCAGCTGGACACGGTGCCCTTCCCACGACCCAGGTGCAGAACAGGCCTGAAGGGGACATGGGAAGCTGGGGAGGAGGGTGCGCTAGTAGCTCATTGCACTTGGGTTCCAGGCTGTCCTTGGAGCCTGAGGACCTGCCTCGAAGCGCCAACCCTTTCTTGGAGACCCTCACTCGCTTGGTGCGTGCCCTTCGGGGACCTCCAGCCCGGGCCTCTCCCAGGCGCTTGGCCCTGGACCCTGGTGCTCTGGCCAGCTTCCCGCAGGGCCTGGTCAACCTATCGGACCCAGCTGCCCTGGAACGCCTGCTCAACGTGAAGGAGCCTTTGTTACTGCTGCTGTCTCCAGCTGCGGCCACCACGGGGGACCCTGCATCGCTGCAGGGCCCGGCATCTGGGCCCTGGGAAGCAAGCCTGGCGCACAGGGTGGCCGTGGAGCTGCAGGCCGCGGCCACGGAGTTGCGGGGACTCCCGGGCTTGCCACCTGCTGCACCCCCGCTGCTGTCCCACCTCCTGGCACTGTGCCCCAATAACTCTGGAGATCCCGGGTACCCACTGCGAGCATTGCTTCTGCTAAAAGCGCTGCAAAGCCTGCGTGCAGAGTGGCGCAGCCGGGTTGGGCGCGGCGGGGGGAGGGCGCAGCGGAGCGCGGGGACCACGGTCACAGATGCACCGTGCTCGCTGCGGGAGCTGAGTGTGGATCTGCGTGCAGAGCGCTCGGTGCTCATCCCGGAGACCTACCAGGCCAACAACTGCCAGGGTGTGTGCGGATGGCCGCAGTCAGACCGCAACCCGCGCTACGGGAACCACGTGGTCCTGTTGCTGAAGATGCAAGCTCGTGGCACCGCCCTGGCACGCCCACCCTGCTGCGTGCCCACCGCCTACACCAGCAAGCTGCTAATCAGCCTGTCAGAGGCGCGCATCAGTGCACACTACGTCCCCAACATGGTGGCCACCGAGTGTGGCTGCCGGTGACCCTGTGGGAGCACTCCTCATATTTATTCAGTTCCCCATCAATAAAGAGCAACAAACACTCTTCTGGGGAGGGGTGTGTTCAGGGGCCACCTTGTCACCTCCCTTCACAAGTGCAAGGCCTGATCACCCCAGAAAGCCTCCACGTCGTCCATAGAGGGAAACATCTGATTCATCTTCATAATTCAGTAATTGATAAGAGGAAATACCTAATGAGAAAGAACTTGTTTGGTTTTTGGTTTTTTTTTTTTGTTTTTTTTTTTTTGAGACAGGGTCTCCCTGTCTGGCCCAACTGGCCTGGAACTCACTATGTAGCTCACAGAGATCCGCCTACGTCTAGCTCCCCAGTGGTGGGATTAAAGGCAAGTGCCACTACACTTTTTAAATTTATGATTTGTATGGGGGGGTAGCCAGGTAGGACAGTAGCTAAGACAGGAAAATTGCTTCAGTTTCAGGCCAGTCTGGAGTACAGAACGAAATCCTGTCTCAAAAAATAAAAAAGGAGGCCAAGTGTGGTGGTGGACCCCTCTAATCTCGGGACTCCGCAGGCAGAAGCAGGAGGATCTTTGTGAGTTCAAGGCCAGCCTAGTCTACATAGTGAGTTCCAGGCCAGCTGGAACTACAAGGAGATCCTGTCTCAAAAAAAGAAATTGAAAGGGGCCGGAGAGCTGGCTCGGCAGTTAAGGGCACTGGCTCTTGCAGAGGACCATTTTCAGTTCCCAGCACCCACATCACAACCATGTCCAGCTCCAAGTGATCCAGCAACTCAAGCCTCTACAGGCACCTGCACTCATGTACACACACACACACACACACAATTAAAAATAACAAGTCAATCTTACAAAGAAAACAAACTCTGTGTAGTTAGTGGTGAACACCTGACATCCAAGCACTATGGAGGTGCAGCCAGGAGGTTCAAGCCAGGCTTGATTATGCATGCTTGGGGTCAGAAGTCAGGGAGGTACCAAAGTGTACACTTGGAAGTCAGAGGACAATTTGCATGAATCTGTTCTCTCCTTCCATGTTGGGTCCCCAGGACCTAACATGGGCTCAAACTCAGATCATCAGGCTTAGCTGCAAGCACCTTTACCCACTGAGCCCTCTCACTGGCCCCATCTGCATCACTTTAACCATTGGGATACAAGCACAAGGAATCGGGGACATGGCAGTCGCAGTATGCACTTTATTTGATGGCACTTCAGAGAATGGGGAGGGGCATCCTGGGATTCTCGTTTCAGTCGTGTCCCTTCCCCCCATGGTGTTTCTGTCCACCCAGAGGCCTGTTGACCCTGGCATGGCATGGCAAGAAAGCCCAGGCCCTTCGTTTCCAGTGCTCAGGGTTCCTTGACTCCCGTGCCTCCCAGCACCGGGGCAGAGCTTCCTGGGGCTCCCTTGTGGCCCGAGGCTTCTCCTTCCGCTGCCTCTCCTTTTGAGGCCTTGCCTGCCTTGGCCTCTCCTGCCTGGGCCTTTCTTTCCTGGGTCTCTCTTCTTTCTTCAGCCTCCCCTCTTTCCTGAGTTTCTCCTTCCTTGGTCTCTCCTGGGACCCTCCATCCTGAAGAGGTGCTGGCTCCTCCCCAGAATCCTCCTCCATGGTCTTCCCAGGGTCCCTCTGGACTTCTGCACTCTCTGGGCTCCTGGGAATCTCAGTCCTATTCTCTGTCTCTGCCCGAGGCCCAGGTGGTCCAGGCTTGGGTGTAGGAGGCTCTGATGGAGGCTTAGGCTGCAGAAAGACAGTGTAGGGTTTTGGGGTCAGCGTCAGGCTCCCTGCAGGTCCAGACTCCTTTTCCCTGGGGAAGTAGCCCTCACCCCCGAACCTAAAATCACCACTGGAAAAACACTTACTGGAGATGACACTGGCTTCTTGGGTGGTGAACTGGGAGGGACCCAAGGCTGAGGGGCAGGGGCAGGCACCACAGCCTCCCCTGTCACCATGTCTGGAAGAAAGGATGGGACAACCAGTCACTCTGGGGTGGAGGACAAACTCCCCCTCATCCCTAGAGCTTCCCTCCTGGGATAGATGGAGATGACTCCACACATGCCTATTCCCTCCAGCCTGGCTTTCACATGGCTGCTCTCAACCATCCATAACTCCAGCTTCAGGGACTCTGACGCCCTCTTCTGGCCTCTGCAAGTATTGCATGCATGTGGTATACATACATACATGCAGGCCACTCATACACATAAAAATTAAAGCCAGGTGTGGTGAAGCACGCCTGTAGTCCCAGAATTTGGGAGGCAGAAGAAGGCAGATCTCTGTGAGTTCAAGGCCAGCCTGGTCTACATAGTGAGTTCCAGGACAGCTGGGGCTACAGGGAGACCCTGTCTCAAAAAGACCAAAAATAAATAAATAAATAAAAATACAGCTGGGCATGGTGGTGCACACCTTTAATCACAGCACTCAGAGGCTGAGATGGGAATCTCTATGAGTTCAAGACCAGCCTGGCCTACATAGTGAGTTCCAGGCCAGCCAACACTACATAGCACAAAAAGTAAGAAAATATTCCAGGTCAGCTGGGACTACAAGGAGACCCTATCTCAAATAAAGGAAGAAAGAAAGAAAACAACCAAGGACAACAAAAACACAACTGGTTGCCTGGGCTTAGGACAGGCACCTTAAAGCAGGTCCTAGAAAGGGAACCCATGACCACTGGGGTTCACAAGCTCTTGGGGGACAGGCTATTCACAGAATAGGGAAAGGAGGTTTGTGTACGAGGATTACGGGTGGAGAGGGTGGTGCACTGCAGCAAGGCTGCCAGGGGTGCACCCACCTGGCCCTGGAGAGGCATGGCATTCTCTGTACACCCCGCGCCGGGCAGGTCCAGCCACCCCTGTCCCAGATCTGCAGAACCCGTACTTACCCCAACACAGCTGGAAGGCTGAGCCCAGCAGAGCCACCAGCGAGGCTAGCACCAGGCATTTGTTGAGGGTCAAGTCCCCCCAGGGCAGGTCCTCCAGGGGAGCCCCTGGCGGTGGTGGAGGGTGCAGGGGAGACCAGGGCTGCGACTTCTTCCGCACTGGGGCGCTCCGGGGACCTGCAGGACAAGCCAGCTTGGTACCCCGGGAATCTTGCTTCAACCTCAGGTGCAGCTTCATTCCCTCCCCACACCACCTCACCCATGCCTGCTGCAAACCCACTCTCTCCAGCTTTTGGCTTCTTGCTGGTTCCCACAAGCTCTTTTTCTGTCTTCTTGGGCTGGCCATCCACAGCGCCAGTTGTCACCGGGTCCTGAGGGACCTGTAGGTCAGATATTCCAAGGGGTGTTTCTATCCAGTTTTTTCCCAGTGGGGCATAGAGCATCTCCCCCCAAGTGGGTGCAGTGGCACATTCCTGAAATTCCAGAACTCAGGAAGCTGAGGCAGGAGGATTGCCTAAAGTTGGATGCCAGCCTCTGCTACATAGTGAGACCTACTCTCTAAAACCAAACCAAACCAAAACAAAACAAAAATTTTAAGGGGCGTGCGTGGGGGTGGGGGTGGGGTGGAGTAGCAAAATGGCTCAGTGGGTAAAGGAGTCTGCCCAAGCTTGATAGCCCGAGTGTGATCCCTGGATGGACACACAGGGTGGAAGGAGAGAACTTACTCTTGCAAGCTGTTCTCTGGCCTCACAAATAAATGAATAACTATATTTTTCTTTCATTTTGGTTTTTGAAACAGGGTCTCCCTCTAGCCCCCGCTGACCTGGAGCCCACTTTGTAGACCAGGCTGCCCTCCATCTCACAGAGCTCTTCCTACCTCTCACTCCTGAGTGTTGAGATTAAAGATCTGTGCCACCCACCATGCCTGGCCCAGGTATAAATAACTCTTTTTTTTTTTTTTTTTCTCTTTGAGATAGGGTCTCCCTGTAGCCCCAGCTGTCCTGGAAACCACTATGTAGACCAGGCTGGCCTTGAACTCACAGAGATCCACCTGACTCTGCCTCCCAAGTGCTGGGATTAAAGGCGTGTGCCACCATGCCTGGCAATAACTCTATTTTTAATTTATTTTTTTATGTGTATGAGTGTATTCCCTGCAGATGTGTGTCATGCAGTGCCTGCAGAGATCAGAAGAGGGTGTCAGATCCCCTGGAACTGGAGTTATGGACTCTTATTAGCTGCCATGTGGGTGCTGGGATTTGAAGCCAGTAAGCAGGTTCTTCATCCCCCAATAGCTCTAATTTTTAAAAGAAAACATTAAAAACCAAAAAAAGATACTGGGACTATACCTCAGTAGGTAGAATGCCTGTCTAACATGCACAAGACCCTGGGCTCCATCTGTAGTACAACATAAACTAGCTGTGGTAGTACACACCTGTTATCCCTACACTGGAAAGGTGTAGGCACGAGGATCAGAAAAAAGTTCAAGGTTCAGTTAAACACCAGCCTAACCTGGCTTTTTAGACCTTATCTAAAAAATTAAATAAAATAGCTGGGTGTGGTGGCGCATGCCTTTAATCCCAGCACTCAGGAGGCAGAGGCAGGTAGATCTCTATGAATTCCATCCAGGCCAGCTGGAGCTACAAAAAAAAAAAAAAAGAAAATTTAATTAAAGAAAGAAAGAGGGCTAGAGAGTTGATTCAGTAATTAAGAGGGGTTACTGCTTTGGCAAGGGACCCAAGTTCAATTCCTAGCATCCATGTCAGGCAACTCATGACCTCCTATAACTCCAGTTCCAGGGGCTACAACACCTCTGGCCTATGCATTCATGTGCAAAACACATACACATAATTTTAAAAATAGGGGTTAGAGAGATGGCTCAGTGGTTAAGAGCACTGACTGCTCTTACAGAGGACCTGGGTTCGATTCCCAGCACCCACATGGTGGCTATAAACTGTCCTTAACTCCAGTTCCAGGGAATCTGAAACAGTCTTCTGACCTCCGCAACGTTGCACAACATGGGTGCACTCACATACATGCAGGCAATACACTCATACACACCTGGCCCCTGCTCAACCTGCTTTCTTTTTTTTTTTTTTTTTTAAACAGGGTCTCCCTTTAGCCCCAGTTGTCCTGGAACTCCCTATGTAGACCAGGCTGGCCTTGAAGTCACAGAGATCTGCCTGCCTCTGCCTCCTGAGTGCTGGGACTATAGGCATGGGCCACCACACCTGGCTAAAAATAATTTTCTTAAGATTTAAAAGTTATTATTATTATTATTTTGTCTTTTGGGTTCTGGGGAGAGAACTTAGTTCCTCACCCTTGTGTGGCAAGCAGTTTACCAACTAAGCTATCTCCCAAGCTTTTTAAAAAATATTTTATTTATTATTTATATTTTATGTGTATGAGTGTATTGCCTGCGTGTATGTGAGTGCACCCGTGTCATGCAATGCCACGGAGGTCAGAAGAGGGCTTCAGATTCCCCTGGAAATGGAGTTAAGAACAGTTCATAGCCGCCATGTGTGTGCTGGGAACCGAACCCAGGTCCACTGCAACAGCAGTCAGTGCTCTTAACCACTGAGCCATCTCTCTAGCCCCAAATCATACTTTTTAAATTTCATGCATACAAGTGTTTGCCTGCATGTATGTAAATGTGCCATACATGTGCAATGTCTGTGGAGGCCAGAAGAGGGCATCAGATCTTCTGGAACGGTGGTCACAGACAGTTGTGGGTGCTGGGACCTGAACCAGGGTCCTCTGCAAGAGAAGCTAGCCAGTTTCAAGGCCCTCTTCTTTACTTCTGAAAAGTGAGAAAGAATTGTGCCTTTGGGGGTGGCCTGAGTTTGGCCCATGGTATCGAGAGAGAGAGAGAGAGAGAGAGAGAGAGAGAGAGAGAGAGGAAACCCATCCAACTGACCACCCTGTCCCCAACTCCCAGGGCCCCGCCACTCACATGTGGCCAGCTGCTGGAATCTGCCAGCCTGTGTGACCCTGTTTGTTGGAACAGAAGGAAAATCAAGACCATAGATACCTAACACCTACCCTCCCCAGGGCAGACCCACACCCTCCACCCCTACTCTGCCCTGTATGGGGCAGTTCCCACATCATAAGTAACAAACACCTTTGCCCTGAGACACAGCATTTTCCACGGTACACCAGAATTTGAACCCAAATCTGTGTACCTGCTGGGCCCTGCCTTCCTCCAAGTTTTCCAGCAGACTCTTCAATCAGTTGTGGGGGCTGAGGACTGGATGCCAGCATAGAGGGGGCACAGTTTAACCCAGCCCAGCCCAGGACACTAAGCTCTGCTCTCAGAAGCTGAGGCCAAAGACTGTCAACAGTAGGTACCTCGTGCCTTGTGCTCTGGCCTCCGACTGGGGCATGTCTCCTCTAGAAAGGGGAAGTCATCATCTCTGGGAAGGCAGCTGCCCAGACCCCCATCTAGATCCTCCAAGCCTCTGGTTGTCATGGAGACTGGAGCAGAAAGGGTCCAGAGTAGGACTGGAAGATGGACAGGGAAAAGGGCTGTGGCTACTGAGCCCTACTGGGAGACTCTAAGCTGTCACTTTGCTCCTGAGCCAACCACTCAATGGACCTATTCCCTACTTTCCAACTTTCCAACCTCTCATCCTCTCTCCGTCTCTGTCTCTCTCTGTCTGTCTCTCTCTCTCTCACACACACGCACACACACATTCACTGTGGAAATTCACATTGTTTTTTGTTTGCTTTGCTTTTTTGTTTGTTTGTTTT